AAAAAAAAAAAAAAAAAAAAAAAAAAAAACACATCATAGTAAAATAATACCTTCTCAGCTTCGCATCGAAGCTAAAAAGTACATATGAGATTTACTATTTATTATTAATTGTAAACCATAACTCAATTTAAAATGTATTTCATAACTTCAACTAAAATTAATATATAGGTACAAAAAATTGATTTAAAAAAAAAAATTATACATAAATGTTTATTATGATATTTATTTATAAAATATGTAAAGGAAATAAAGTCACAAAAATAAAGGAATATTTTGAATTATAGTTGAATACTTTTGTTTATAAATTATTGGTAATTGGAACATTTTTTTCTTCATTCCAATTAAATTAATTGTTACAATTTTTTTTTATATATAATTATACTTACATTTTGAGTTACATTTATGCTGGATCTGACCAGGAAGTATTGATTCATTAGATTTATGTACTAAAAGAGAGTATGTTTGTTCATCTGTATCTTTGTTATTGCAGTGTTCCATATCTTCATCAGAGCTAGGTCCTAAAATAGCATTTTAATTTTTTTAAATTTCATACCTAATATAAATGTTAGTATGTAGGTAACTTTTAATTTTAATTTATAAGTCTTCATAACATTATTCATAATTAATATCTTGATATAGTAACTTAAATATAGTTAACTTAGTAACTATAATTAATTTATTTTGTTAAAACTCAAAAAAAATATTAAAAATAAAATTGAATTTAAAATTATGAAGTTAATTTAAGTATACCTACCTACATATTATTGTTTAACTTACCTATATACAAATGTTCTTGATGACTAGAAATCCAAAGTTGAACTTTACTATTGCTAGAATTATATTCTTCATTTTGATTATTGGTGATATTGTTATCTAATTAAATTGTAGAACAAAATTTAATGTAATAAACACAAAAATAAAAAAATTATTTTAAAATTCTTACTAGAATGGGAGTATGTTTCATTTTTTTCAGCCATTTGAACCATATTTAACGTACGACGCTTAATTATATTATTATTATTTGTGTATTTTAATTACCTACTAGTGAATACTTATAATAAATTATTTAATTAAAGAAACAACCGTTGTAACTTGTAAATAACACTATCTCACCAAAATCTGAACACAAACAAAATAACCAAAAACAAAGTACTCAAAATTAACATAAAGTACACACAAAACATGCTAGATAAACAGTTAATACTATAATTAGTATATGTCGACCGTAGAATGATATCACGTTTATCAGTAACAATATTTTGCTTATCAATCTTGATTCATAAGACTTAAGTCAACATAAGTCAATTTTGACAGTTAAAAAAATATATTTATTTACGTTCTAAATGTCTTAAGTCATAGTAATGACTTACGCCTTTTTTGCTAAACAAATTAAACGTCATAGTGACTTAGGATATTTTTATTTTTGCTATAATATGTGCTAGAATACACATACACTTATGCCATCTAGACCAAAAANTATAGACCAAAAAAAAAGGGTAAAAAAAACTACATATGACAAAATTATAAAAAAAAAATGCCAAAAATTGACTTAAGCCCTTTTTCCCTGGAGCCAAAGATATAACAAAGATCTAAATGAAAAACATCTTAAAATTTAAGAAAAACAACATGTTTACACATAAATAGACATTGAAAGTCGAAAAAATTAGAAATTCGACGAAAAGTGAAACATCATTAAATAAAGATATAAATGAAAAACAACTTAAAATTTAAAAAAAACGAATTTTTTATTTTTGAATTGAATTGGGTTGGGTCGGGTTTCCAACCAAACCCAACCCTACGCGCACAATAGATTAACAAATACTGAGAACCGATTAGTAGTCCGCAGACAATGTTGTTGCTGCACGACACCATCCTTTCCAAACATCTGTTAGACAATTAATTCGTGATAACAGATGAGGTTTATACGACTAAGATATTAAAATATTATGAAATAAATGACTGTAATGAATACTGGCCGCCTACGTTTTTCATACCCATGCATATACTACTATAAATCACAAACGAAAAATTCAGTTTTCCACCTGACTGTTCTAGAAGTGTATAATTTTATACGTCTGCGTGTCTAATTTATATACGTTTTAATTATTATAATTATAGTTATATTAGTTAAATGCAGTAATTATTTATAACATTGAGAGGGATACGAGTAATATTCAGACAAAAATATGTATGACATTAATCGATAAGTGTATTACAATAATAATAATAATAATATTATAATCATTAAAATATATGTTCCAGCAATTATTATCGTCGTCGTCGGCGGCGGCGGTAGTAGTAGTGTTTATTTAAGAATGTGTTTTGCTATAAGAAAACTCGAACAGTCGTCATTATTATACATTGTCGACAAAAAAAAAAAAAAAATACTGATTTATTATTCACTATACTGATAACGGTCAAGCTTATAGCTCGTATATGAACAATTAATGTAATTGACGGCGGCATCGCGCCGCGTTAAGCCATCTGCTGTATTAATCTCGAGTGCTATAGTATTATAAAAATATATAATCATCAATACAGCCATCTGGCACACAATGTTTCGAACTAATTTTTTTTTTACAAATTAGGTAAAATTAACATTTTACGTACAGACATTATCTAAATATATGCATGTCGCTTATCAAAATAGCGGATTCGACGTTTAAAATTCATACTTTTCACCATAACCGTATAGCTTACCTGGAAAACGCATTTTTTTTTTTCGTCAAAAGCCAATATTACGTATATACTATTTGGCCGAGCATAATTTAGGCACGCGACAAGTTGTGTTAGTTAACGTCGTGTTTCATTACCCCCCCTATCATAAGATTTGGTGGAAGAGGAGAGGTTCCTCACTTGACTTAGGTTATCTTACGTTGGGTTTTGTCATCGCGGTCCTCTCCCATTGCATTATGTTAGTTTACGTTGGATTTATTCCCCCCTCCACGCATCCTTCACCTACACCTCAGTGGTGTTATGAGTGGGTGAAGCGGGGGGAACTAAAATCCCCTATATTACCCTACTAAGAAAAGCGTCAGATATCTTTAAAATATTTTATATTTTTCATAATTTCTGAATGTTTAAAATGTATAATACATGATTTAAATATATATAGATTAATTTATGTTATTTAAAATATTAAATATTAATATTAAAAATATTAAACTTTTTCGATTTATAAATTAAAAAGTTACTTAACCCACATTCTTCATATAAACAATTCCAATCATTTATTTTTAATATTTTTAAAGCATTTATTGTCGAATTAGGTTTTGTGATGGTGTCACGTTTTCATAATCGTGAGAATTATTTTAATAAAATACAGACAGCACATCCGCTGCCTGAGACTGATGAATTAACAAATAATATTTATTGCCAAATCGGCAATAATTATAATTATTATAAAAACCCAATAGACCTGACCATCGTGGTCAGTCGACTCCAGTGCCTTGTGTCATTCATCAGTCTCAGTACTCGGTTGTCGCTGTCCGGCTTACTGTTTAAAGTAAAGTCTTTGTTTATTCCTCTTCTAACCTATATACTCTTTTCCTCGACATTTCAGAGTACTTGTGTCTTGCACTTCGTCTGCACCTCGTACTTCATTATCCTCTCCTAATAACTAAAGTACTTGTGTTTTGCACTTCGTCTGCACCTCATACCTAGGTGTTACTCTTATTCTCCCTTCCTATAACAACAGCCTTTTGACACCCACAGCTAATCCGGAGTGTCAGCCGAGCACGGTGACTGCTGTACGACAACACGCACGTGAATACCTAGACAGCAGGCACCACATCCATCCTCCTGCTCGCTTCTTTTTCGTTTCATTTTTACTGTGATACGACAGTTTGCTATGATAATAGGTTTCAACTACAAAAATTAAATAATTTTACTTTTTAATATTTAAATTTTTTAACTTTATTTGTCTGTGTTACTACTAGTCTATAATATTCCAAATTTTTGGGTAACATGTTGCTACATAAATCATAAATCTAAAACAGCTTCGCATCGAAGCTCAAGAAATGATTTTTAGTTTGACCTGAATTTAATAAAAAATATTTACAATTATAATCAAATTTTATAATAGGCCCAATAGAGTAGATTTTTTTAACAATGGTTTTTTTAGTTATAGTTATCAATTAAAACTAATTAAGTTTTGAATATTTCAATTGTAGAATTTTTTTAAACACCAAAAGTTACACAGAAATTATTACTATGATTTATATTTAAATGATCTATTACAATAAAAATGCAAAAAAATATTGAGCTTTTCTGATAAATTTACAGTAAATAGTAATTATACAATTTACTGTCTGCATATTAATCTTAACAATACAAAATTTTTTAATTCTCATAAAATTTTCTATTCAACAATGTCAATTTCAAACTTGAAGTTGAGTTTAGAGTTATGGTATAAATTCAATTTTTTTTTTTATTTTAAATGAGATCACAATAACTAATTAAATGTTATAATAATAGGAGCTAATAAGGAAAGGCAGATATGATTTTAAGTCCAAAAATTGCTCATATCTACCTCCAAAAAAAGACTTTATGTGCGTACATTAATTATATAATGGGTTGTTTTAGTTCAAAGCCTCCTTCCTAACTCTTAAGTACCTATTGTTTTTCTAAAATCTGATACACTTCGACGGCCTTTATTGTTGTAATAATTCGTTAATAGACAGTACACAATTATAACGCTATTTTATGTTAATTAATATTTATTAATTAGTGATAAAGGTTATATTTTCCATCGAAAAATATATCACTACGATATTCATCTACTTAGAAATTTAATCATTGTATTAATCGATTTTGTAAATTATCGATACTCAGAGCAATTAATTAATTATATAATTCAGAGTAATTATCGTTGTAGTCCAAATTTTTGAAATCAGGTATTCGCAGTAATTGTTGTCGGAGTGAATGTAATCGGAGGATTTTTTTACAGTGTAGGAGCAACATCAATTCATGGCAATCCCCATAACCCAAAATTAATACCTTCTTATCTTCGTATTGAAGTTAATAAAGATCCTCAATTAAAATAAAATATATATTTAATGAGTTAATTACAGTTGCCCTGTTAAAATCTTTGAAATCTATGAAATTTATTCCTAAAAATAATTTGGGATCACCTTAGATTCAGATAGAAGTATAGTGAATTGTACGAGGAAATATATCCCCCATGACAGAACGTTTATTTTGTACGATGATGACGTTCCAGGACAAGGAAGCCGGTAGAGTTTTAAGGTTATTTTCATAACTACGAGACTAGTAAATTACCTTAATTATCTATATACCTAAACACTTATGGATAAATAAATGCTCACAATAGACCAACAGATCTGAGTCCATGGGCATTATGTCCACCTTGATAATAACTATGGATAAATAAATGAATATGTCAATATAAATCAGTAACCATAAAATTACTCAAAGAGTGACCATAAACCATAAAAAGTTAAAAGGTGCGTCAAACACTTTTGTTATCAATTTTAATCTTAATCATTACAACGAAGTTGACATCATTTTTAAGTCATAATTTTTTAATAATTTTTTTTTTTATCAACAACTTTTATGAATTGCTCTATTCTTGTTGAAATTATCAAACAATACCTGTAAATTGGTGTAATAATAAAATTACAGTGCTAAAATATTGCGCACTTACTTCTTACTACCTGCAAATGACACAGATTACTTCAGGGTAAGATCTTTAATCTATCTATAATTTTTTTTATTATTATCCGTGTATATCTGTGTATTTAATATAAATCGAATGAAAGTATTATTTGGACATATTTATTTAATGAATATATATATATATATATATATTGTTTTCGATTTATATCTTTATCAGAATATAATTTTTTTATTTAATTATTAATTACTAATATTATACTTCAAATGTATGAAATATTTATAGTTTAACATGACTCAATATATTTGTATAGCTCATTTTTAAATGGTGATAGTCAATCATTAATACACATTGTTTCAGTTTAAAGGTATCAAAAACTTTTGTAATTCTAAAATTCTTAACATTGTTTCACTAACAAATGATTAAAATATACTGAAAGTAGTTTATTAGAGAAAAGAATTATGAAATGTTTGGTAATTAACTCTTGTGAATTCAGATTAAAAATTTAATGAGAAATTATTAGTCAGTCTACTCATAAATTCTAAGTTGTTTAATTTTCTTTAATATGTACCAATGGTTGTTTGAGTTCAATTTTATTTTTAAAGATGAATGGTAAATTCTTTAAGATTGTAGTGAGACCACCTATGTTGTATAGTTTAATGTGTTGAGTGGTTGACCAAGGAATAAAGCTGAGAGTGAGTGTTGAAGAGATGAGAATGCTTAAATGGAAAGTTAAGTGACTAGAGAAGATAGGATAAGGAACGAACATATAAGAGATATAGTGTCAATCATAAATAAAATAAGAAAAAATTGACTTGGATGATTGGGTATTGTAATGAGGTGAGAGGAATCAGAAGCTATAAGAGTAGTCATGAAAATGGATTTTGAAGGATGAAGAGATAGAAAAAGACCAAAAAAAAGATGGAGGGGTGTTAATGAATAAGTAGATGATGTAGGAAATTGTGTCAAGTGAAAGTTTAGAATAAGAATGACTAATCCCAAGTAGTTAAGATAAAGATGAGGAAAAAGAAGAAGAAAAATAAATACATTTTATTGTTTAATTACACTTATAATTTTAGTGGAAATAATATATTAAACATGGGACGTCGATTGTCAGGGTCATCAACCAGAGCTCGTGACACTCAACCTTCACCTTTAACTCTGCAACATAATTCATCTTTGACTGATCGAAATGCTTTATCTCAACATGATGAACTTATACATTTTGTAGGAGATTGTAAGTTGTCCTGAAAAATATTATTGAGAAATTTTTAATAATTATTTTAATTGTGCAAAATTAATTTTATGCTAAATTAAATTTTTACATGTATAAATGGTTCAATTAATTAAGTTATTTAAATTAAATAATTTATAGTATAATTATAAAATAATTAAATTAAAATTTATTTAATTTATTATTGTAAGAATTGTTGTTAGTTTTGTGATATGAACAGGGCTCAAAGTGGGAGGATGCAAGAAGACTTAGTACCCCTAATTCTCAAAGTGCTTTAAATATATCCATTTTAAGATTTTATAAAATAAAGTTTTGGAACCATTAGATAATTTATTAATGTGTTATACGTTCAAAATATATATAATATTTCAATGATAAAAAAAAAAATTTTATCACTCCTTCCATTTCTGTAGTAAATTCTAGAAATCTTATGATGTAAGACACTTATAAATACATGTCATCATCCCATGAATGTTTTTCAAATCTACGAGTTACTTTCATTGGTTCTTCCTTTTTAGGTATTAACTAGAAATTTATTAAAGTCAAATCTTAAATTTAGGAAGGGTGGCACTTTTTTTTAACAAAAAAATGTTAGAGAGTCATTGTTAAATACATTTATGATTTTCTTACGGAAGAATATAAATAGAAAAATGTTGACACTCCCTACAAATGAAAAAAAAATTGTTTCTTCACCATGCATGTAATTTTGTTTGGAGGGATTTATCACCATCATACTACCTCCACCATAACTTTGCAGCTGGTTAAATTAGCGGCATCTCTTTAATAATATGTTGATAATATTGATAAATTAAAAATATGAATAACTAGCTTGTCTACTCTTATCTATGGTTATTTAAATAAAATTATAAAATAAAAAAAAACTAAAGAATTGATTAATTTAAGTATTCATTTTAGTTCTTTTAATTATCCTTTATGTAATTAGATATGAGATTTTAACTACATTCTTATGATAAAGAAGTGAAACTCTATAACTGTTTATTCAAAATTAGTTTGTCATATTATAAGCAATTTTATTAATAAACTAAAAATAATTGCAAGGCTTAATTAATTTTATAAATATTTATTTTAACCTCAATGAACTCTGTCATGTTTGTAACTTTTGCAATACTTTAATTGTAGTTAACAAAACATATAGTTCATTATTAGATTAAATATATATTTATTTTATTGACTTCAAAAGAGTATAGTATATACGTTATATATGAATTTCATTACTTAGTATAATATTATTCATTTCAGCATGGAATGTTATTTATCAGGAGTATCAAAATGGCTCTCAAGGAAATAATGGTAATTATTCAAAAATAATTGACCAAACCTATTATATTTTTACAATATTTGTTACTTGTATTTTAATAATAAAAGGTAATTCTTTTAACACTGAATTTTGGAAAAATCTCATAACTTTGATCACTAAATATTTTGTATTTGTTTTTTTTTTTAATAATTTATATAATTTTAGTGCTACGTTAAAATAATATTATTCATTAATTTTTAATAAGAAATTATATATATATATATAATATTATCATTAATTAGGTTCAATTAACTTGAACCTAATCTGAGAATCCATAAATTGTTAAAAAAAAAATTACAACAAAATGTTGATTTTATCAAAAGTTATACGAGTTGACAGATAGAACTGTTTCATCCAGTTTATACAGTGACGCAACTAAAATAAAATTACTATGAGGAGGGATGATAGCATACATATTTAATTCTTCTTTTCCTTGCCTTAATCCCAACTACTTGGGGTCGGCCACCCTTATCCTAAGCTTCCACTTGACAAAATCTCCCACATCAACTACGCTCACACAGCTGCCCTCATATCACATTTAATTACATCCCTGCATCTCTTTTGGTCTTCTACCTATTTTTTCCTCAACATTAATTTATATAATTATTTTTACAGCTTCTAATTCCTCTCTCCTCATAACATGACCAAATCATCATATACATTTAGAAAACAACATTATTTATTTATTTATAAAATAGAAAATATTCTAATTAAAAAAATTACTGGTCGATAACAGCTTTTGAAACAGTATTTTGGAAGTTTTGAAATATTTATAAAAAATGGCTAGTGATAAAAGTAGCACCATATACTCCTTACCACCAGTCATTACTTTAAATATTTAATAACTTCTGAAATATTGGTCCATAAGTTGTTATCGATCAGTCATTTTCTTTTTTACAATATTTTATATTTTAAAAGGTAGTTAAATATTTAAAAAAATAAGGTTGGCACCTCTTTAAATTATAAGGGATAATTAAAAAAAGTAATTATTAGCTAATAAATCTAAAAATATATGTAACTAAAAAAATGTCAAAACTTTTTTTAATGTATTTATTTTGCAAGTAATCAAGTGACTTATGATAAACCGTTGCAACCGAACTCTATATTTATTTTAATATCAAATTAATTTTAAAAAGAAGAACTTTTTATGTGCAATTATAGTCAGTTATTAATTTTATAATTATATATATGTATTCATTTTTAGGTCGATTTCTTATTCAATTTTATGCAGATGAACACGGCGATAAGCTGAAAGGTAAATTATTTTAATTAATAGCTGGATGTTCTTTCGGATTTAGGTATTTTTTTTTTTTATTCCAACTCCCAAAATTATGTGCAACTTAATTGATTAACTATGCTTCACACAATATTAAGTATAAAACATATAATTTTTTCTTTTCAAAAGTTAAAAGTATTCTATGCTTTATAATTGATTAATTCTGTGTGTAATAATAATAACTATTTTTTTTCAAATTCACTTTTGGATGGTTCTAAATTAAAATTAGAACGATGAATATATTAATTCAAAAATAAAAAGTAGTTACAATAAATAATTTGAAAAATATAGTGCATCACTGAATAAAAAGTTAAATAATAAAATACTAAATATATCAAAACCTGGTAGGACATGCTCCAATTAATACCAATGGTATACTAATAAAAAATAATTTTATTGAGTATTATATGTATCTAAAACTGTTTTTTAAGAAAAAATATCAGTATCTTCTTATTATAAAGTAGAACAATCTTATAAAAAATAGTACAAAGTTATTATATATTAAAACAGAAAAAAAAAAATTTTCCAAAAAAAGTATTAAACGAAACTTTTGAAAAATTATTGACAAAGATCGGAAAATTTTGCCGCAAGCCCTCGAGCGTTTAAAATTTTGACTGTTTTTGAGAAAAACGCTTGCTGATCCCAGCATTATACTATTTAAGGTTTGAAATTATCACCAGACATGCCCATTGATATTTCTGAGTTATCTTAAAAAATTAATTCAATCTGTTAATTTTTAACCATTTTATGAAATTTTTTTTTCACAAGTTAGAGACGCCAGGGCGTGCCGCCTGAAATTCTTGTAGCACTACGATAGGAAAACGATTTTTTTTATTAATATTATCTATTAAAAAATAATTTTATTATTATAGTGTGTTAATTGTCTGGTCAAATAAAGTAACTTAATTTTATTTAGCTATATTAAAATTAAGTTCATCTAATTATTTGCCTGTTGGTATTTTATTGAAAATTTGAAATAAAATTTATAATATTTTTATCTAAAAAAAATTTAAGTTTTTGATCTGCTTGTTAAGTCCTTGTTCATGAAGAATTCTGAAATCGCACAGTAAAATATAAAATTTATTCAAATTCTAGTTACTGATTAGTTATAATTCAACAGTTATATTAAAAACAATAAATATATCAATAGAATTTCTTAAAAGCTTCAAAAAATTTTTTTAAAAATAGCATCTAGAATTAAAGAAGTTTCAACTTCTTACTTTTCAGTATAATAAAATTAATTTAATTGTTTCTTTAAAGAAAAAAATATTCTAATATCATTAGGTTTACATTATTTTCATAATAAAATAGCAAAGAGTAGTGAGAGAGTATAGACATTTTGTAAAATTGGATAAATGAAATAATATAATTATTAACTTTTATACTTTTTAGGATTTAAACCTTTTGATTTAGAAGCTTGGTGGGGAAAACAAACAATTCAACGCTATCAGCAACGTTCCTAAACAATTAATTTCTGTATAAAATTCTTATAATAAATTTAATTTAATTCTTTATTTATATATAAATATGTATTTATGAATCTATTTGTAATTTAATTATCGTATAATCATTTTTTTTTTTTTTTTTTNTTTTTGTGCATTCATGGTGATAATCATATAAAAATGTTTTACATTTCTAATCAAAGATTGAACAGAGTGATTTTATGATCAACCAGTCTATTTTATAATTAAATTATTTCCTATTTTATAAGTTAATTAAATATGTATGTTACCATTTAAAAAAGTAGGTTACTACTTGTATACGTTATAAGGGATGATTCTAAAATGTAATTAATAGCTAATAAATCCAAAAATATAAGTTACTAAAAGAAATCAAAAATTATTTTCTTGGTGTGTTTATTTTGCGCGTAATTGATTGGCTTATGATAAACCGATCACTCTGTAGACAAAAGTTTGACCTACTCAATATTTTACAAAGTCGCTCGTCTAGCTCGTGATTTATCCCTATATTATAACCATAAAACGAATATATTAAGAAAACTATTTTTCAAAACATGGCTATATAAATTCATTTTTATAAATTTTTAACATAAATAAAATAACTTTTTGACGTTTATGCTAGTTTGAGGGGTTGAGTTTTAAAGAGAAAAAAAGAATTAATAATTTTTTTTATTTTTATTTATTTATAATTATATATATATATATAAATATTATAATATATACATTAGGGTGGCCCTCAAAAATCGAATGTCTTTTTTTTTACGCTACCCCTTAATTTTTTTTTAATGGTCAAGTAAATGAGCTGTCCAAAATTTGGGACCATTCCGTTAAGGTTAACCCGTGCCTATTAAGTTGAGTCGAAGAGTCAAATTTAATAGAAATAACTGATCTGTCTCATAACTTTTTTTCTCTTAACTTTGAATTATAAAAGTAAAACTCAAGTAAAGAAAATTTTACCAGAAATTCAAAAATAATAACTTTAATGTCGTTATATTAGATCTATTATTATATGGACAGTTAATTAATAATTAATTACAAACCTAATAGTTTAATTTAATTGTTATTAACAATTTTTAATTTTTTTTTTTTTGAATAATAATAACTTTAAAAAACCCAGCACAGGGGGGTCGCGGCACAGTGGTGACGTGGCATAGTTGGATCAAGTATAATGATATCTGACAGTGATTAAAATCACTATCAAAAAAAAACGCTTCGATGCAAATCTTTAGATAGTGTTTAATTTTAAAAAATTGGTGGATTATTCCAAAAGCTTCATAAACTGCTAGTTCCTTATTAATATCCTGATTAAGACAAAGTATGTAGAATAAAAAAGAGATTATTAGAAAATAGTATTTCCCATAAAAAAATTATATTGATCAATACACTTTTCAATAAGTTATAGCATTATAATGTTAAAAATGTAAAAAATAAAATTGAGAATTTTCACACAATAATAGCATTTGGTAGCCATTTTCACCTTGAAGATAAAATAAAGTCCGAAATTTTTTTTTTCCATGATAAAGTATATTACATTAGCTTTAATTTAAGATATATATAAAAGTGTCAGACTTTCCGGAACACTTTCAAAATTTAAGTTGAAAAAGTCAATTTTTTGTGAAAAAGTTGTCATTTTGAATCCCCCCCTGTAGGCAGGTAAAAAGTCAGATTTATAAAAAAAATATACCAAATGATAGGTAAAGACATCATGCATCTACAAAAAAAAGAATTATATTGATCCATACATCTTTCGAGAAGTTATAGCATTATAAAGTTAAAAATATAAAAAAGAATTTTTTTACAAAAATCGTATTTTTTTTATTAAGTTTAATGTCTGTTTTCACCATGAAGATAAAATAAAGTCCGAAATTTTTTTTTACCATTATAAAGTATATTACATTAGCTTTAATTTAAGATATATATAAAAGTGTCAGACCTTCCGGAACACTTTCAAAAGTTACGTTGAAAAAGTTCTACTTTCTATATGCATTTTTATGTTTTGAATCCCCCCTGTATTTAGGGAAATGGTCCGATTTAAAAAAACAGTATGTCGAATGAAAGATCTATATAAATACTACTTCTCATAAAAAAATTGTAATGATTCATACATTTTTCAAAAAGTTATAGCATAATAAAGTTAAAAATGGAAAATACAAAATCGAAAATTTTCACACAAAAATAGCATTCGGTAGCCATTTTCACCATGAAGATAAGATAAAGTCCGAAATTTTTTTTTTTCATGATAAAGCATATTACATTAGCTTTAATTTAAGATATATATAAAAGTGTCAGACCTTCCGGAACATTTTCAAAATTTAAGTTAAAAAAATTAATTTTTTGTGAAAAAGTTGTCATTTTAAATCCCCCCTTGTGGGCAGGTTAAGGGTTAAATTTATAAAAAAAATATACCAAATGAAAGGTAATGATATTATGCATCTATATAAAAAAGAATTATATTGATATGTTTATTTTTGAAAAAGTTATGGCACTTTTAAGTAAAAAAAATTGAAAAAATTTCGAAAATTAGCGATTTTTAAATTTGTAATTTTTTTGGAGGTTTCCCCCTTTTACGGGGAACGAGGGAATTTTTTTCAATTTTTAAGGGTAATGTCTTCGACTAGATACGATTTGTGATCTTTTGACGTATCATTGAAAGAAATCGGTTCGGTGAGAGCTGAGAAAAAGTGGTAATAGACACAAAAAAAAAAAAAAATAATAAACACATCTTAGTAAAACCAATACCTTCTCAGCTTCGCATCGAAGCTAAAAATATATTTTAACAATAATTAAATTACATTATTATTATACATTTTTTGATTATGTACTTTTTTTACAATTAGGAAATTTTTTCCGATAATCACTTACTATTTGTAAAACGTATTGTTTCTGTTCTTTATTTGTAGTTAATATATTAATGTAGTCTTAGATTAATTTAATGCCACGCTAAGCTGTATCATTAAGGACTCGTAATTTACTTATAGTAATTAAAGCATTTATGTAACTGTTGTTCGCACTCCAAAATGATGGATCAATTTTCAAAAAATCAGTGTTCAGATTAAATAGTTGTAAATTTGATAGTAACTTACTACCAGTTATTTCGTGGGAATAATTACCAATAAGATAAATATAAGTTCGTAATATTTTAAAAGACGCTAAAAGTATTGTACATTTGTGATTAAAACGTATCATTTAACATATAATAATAAACAGGTAAAATATATTAAACGTGTTCACAAATTGTCTGCTGCATTTATACGACATAAATCATGTCAGTTGTCGAAAATAACTCAAATATACCATCTTTCATAATAGCATAATTGTTACTATCTTAAAGTAATTCAGTAAACCAAAATTGATATATTGATACGACAAAATGTAATAATACAATCAATTTTGATAAATTTGTAATTAATCATTAATGAACTGTCCATAAAATAATAAATCTAATATAATTATCGTACTTGGCATAAAAAATTAAACTTCTAGAATCTTTTTTTAAACGAATATGCGTTTTCCAAAAAATAAAATGAAAATAAATAATTAAAAATCAGTTATAACGTATTTTTAACACTTTTACATGTTTTTTACTTTATGTAGTGTTTTTGTGGGTTATTTATTGAGAAAACAACATTGAAGTTATTATTTTTGAATTTCTGGTAAAATTTTCTTTACTTGAGTTTTACTTTTATAATTCAAAGTTAAGAGAAAAAAAGTTATGAGACAGATCAGTTATTTCTATTAAATTTGACTCTTCGACTCAACTTAATAGGCACGGGTTAACCTTAACGGAATGGTCCCAAATTTTGGACAGCTCATTTACTTGACCATTAAAATAAATTAAGGGGTAGTGTAAAAAAAAGACATTCGATTTTTGAGGGCCACCCTAATGTATATATTATAATATTTATATATATATATAATTATCAGATAGAGAAGTATAATATGTTGTTTTTTTAAATTTTTTGAGAAAATTCCTTGGGGTTTTTGAATTTTGATATCCAGACGCTGCCTTTTGTTAAAGTTGAAATTAAAAGGCCTTTTTAGTCGATTAGTCCAGGAAATCCAGGGACATTTGGCCGTCGATTTTATGTTTCGTTTTGTGCTATCATCAAACTATGCACTTGATTATATATTTTGTTGTAATAATAGCACTACTCACAGGAAGGTATGACATCACTCCACCTAATCTATAATGGACACAAACCATCAATGCTAAACTGTGCACCCGGGTTTTTACTAGCTATCAACACCCCCTCCCAAGTAACTGGTGACTTTAACAGCCAGTGTACCACTTGAGGGTATAATAATATAAACGAAGCAGGGTATAAACTACAAACTTTGGTATTAGCTCCTAATCTTTAAATTCTATAAGACCTGATATATTCTTGTCAGATAGGTGGAACTTCTGTAGTAGAAAGGCATAAGTACTTTTAAAGCGACTAGAAGGCAATTTAAAACTGAAGGTAACAGAAAATAATGTCAGTTTGCACAAAGAATAGCCTTGGTATTGTTGGAAAATTCTGAATGCAATGTGAACGAGGCACACAAAATGAGTGTGAAGAAAGATTTATATAACTTCAATAAACGAGCATCTCCTCTTCCATCTATAACGCTACCTTTCAAAGTTTTTAAAATTGTAGAAGCCATTAAAGAAATCAAAAAAGGAAAATCAGCAGGGAAATATGGTATATACCTAGAATTCTTTCATCACCTGAGCGTAAACATTTAGGTGCTACACACGTCAACACTGGCTCTAGTTTATTTATCGGTCAAATATTGTACTACGGTGAGGGGAAACAGCAACTACTGTCAACTAATGGGTACGCAAGTCAAGAAAGCTTGCGCCTAATAACATGGAGTGCCATGCCGACGCCACTTCCATGGCTACCAATACTGTCGAATATAGGAACTTGCTACATTTGAAAAGAACTTTCTATCCTAAAGCTAGTGTATGGGTTTACAAAGAATTTGAATTACTAATCCTTTAGAATGGAAATACAATACCCCGTTTGAACTTTTGTAAACCTCTTTTCTACAGAGCAAAAAAGTTGGTAAGCTACTACAACAACCCGGATGCATTTTCAAATCGAATGTTACGAAAGTCTACCAAACGATGAACTAGTCCAGCTGTACAATACAACAGCCTAAAATAAACTACCATGCAAAATATCGCTTAATCGCATCCGTACTTGTCAAGGGCGATATAACCAACTCTTAAACAAATGGAAATTAAGGGACAACTCAAATTGCAACTGCGGAGTGATGCAATCAATGGACCACATTATAAAGGACAGTCTGGCTCGACGGTACCCACAAGAGATACAAGATATTTTCAACGCTACAAAACCGACTATTGAATTGTCAAGTAAATTTGACGTCGAATTATAAACCAAGTAACCTAACAAACAATATAACCTTTATATAGTTGTTCATTTAACTGTATTTTATGAACCTTGTTGTGTATTGAGTAGTGATAAGTTTTACGATTGTAATGTAGTCGTAGTAGTAGTAGTACCGGTTTACACACGGCCCAGATAACATGCAACACACTCGCGAGTGCCCAATTATAATGCAAGTTTCATCAATAAAGTTTTCGTAAAAGTAATTGCGGTGTTGATTATTTCACTAAGTAAACCCGCATAACAAACATATTTAATTTATGTATATATTTAAATTATAAAAATCGTCGTCAAGATCTTGAACGTCATATAAAATAAATAAATCAACACAAATGTGCATATCAAAAAGGGAACCTATTAAAACACTTAAATGATTCTATGCTGAAATTGGAGACGTTGGCTAAAAATGATGAAAATATATATACCTATATTTATCATGACGATGCCCGTCTTTACCATCGTTTTTTTTTTATAAAAGGAAAATTTTAAATTTGGAATTAATATGGATGTATGACAAATTCAGGGGATAATAAAAAATGCTATTTATTGTAAATGTATCATATAATTATGTCATTTCTATGATAAAAAAACAATAAAATAATGTTTGCTAATTAGTTTTTTCATATATAATGTATGTATTTATAAGATAAATAATCAGATATCACAAAATTTTCAAATCAAACAAGACTCCATGAACATATACATATAAATTCGTACATCATCATTCATTGACATGGACCACACGCCATTTGAGGGGAGTAAACTAGATGAGATATAATGATTATTTATATTTCCACTGTGATCATGAAATCTAGTTTGAAAGAGCTTAACAATTATATAACCAATTAAAATTTTATATTTATATTATTATAAAATAATAATAATAGTAATTATGTTTATTTAAAAATATAAATAAATTAAAAGATTTCAAACTAAACAGAATGAATGAATCAGTCAACTGGTTTCAAATATTAACGCGATTTGAAATTATCTTAATATTTTAAACATACATCATAAAATAGTATGAATGTATAACAGAAGTCAATATTAATAATCATTATAAACACACATTAAAAATTCATTATGTATTATGACAACTAACAAACTAGTGGAATTAGGCATTCAAAGGGTAAAAAATTTGTAAATAAGGCATCTTATTATGAAAATAACACCTAATTAATAAAATAAATTTTGTGATTATTTATAATCATATGCTAGTTATTTGGAAGGCATAAGCATAAATAATTCATACTATTACTGTATTGGCGTTAAAATATATATACATTAGTCCAAGATATGTTTTATTGTAATATATTTTATAATTTAAGTAATTTGAATGTTACACAGAAAAATTTTGTTATAAATGAAGTATGATTTTGATATTCATATTTTAAATATAAATGAAAGTTTAAAATATTTCTTTTACTTGAACATAATAAAAAATCAGATACAAAAATAAATGAACTTTCATTGCTTTTTAAATATAATTATAACAACTTAACATTATTGAGCTTTTATTAATATTTTTAAACATAGTCTATTATATTTAAAAATAATGAAATACTTTGAATAAAAATAACTTTCATTATTTAGTCCTTTTTAATAATTATAAGAAACAAATAGACATAACTATAATTATTATTCAAATTTACTTAGATATTTTAGGGTATGAATAATATTAAGTCTTATATAGTAGTTTTTAATTTCTAATATATAAATGTATATTGAATAAATTATTAAATAATAGAATTACTAAAATTCTTACAGGCTGGTTTCTTAATCCAATAAAATTATATTTCCAAATACATTAAGTAAATTATAAAATATAATATTAACAAGATAACTCAATTTTTTTTAATGATTAAAGACTGAGAATAAATATAAATAAAACAATAATATATTTAATAAATAATTGTTTTGCCTTCCATGACTAGCACTAAAGGAAATATTTTCCTAATTCCACTTTAAATACTTATAAATGTTAATTCAGCTATTAAGATTAAAAAAAGATAACAAATATATACAAGATTATTAAAAAAATATACAATTTGTCAAAAAAAAAAAAAAAATTGTTTGTCCCAGTATCCTTCCAACTACTACTTATATTTTATGATCCTGAAAAATATAAATTATAATATTCTAAATTAAGGCATTCAAAATAAAGATATAATTAACATAATATTAACCCAAATATTGTATGATAATATTTTAGAACAAACAAACAAAATGTCTAATGGGTTAAATTAAGAGTGAATTCATACTTTCTTTATTTTTTTGATAAACCATATACCTAGTCTCTAGAAAAAAAAAAAAAAAAATAAACAACAAACATAACACATATATGGCCATATCAATACAATGGGAAATGTATAAACCAAATTGTAACAATTAACAAATTTAATAAAATAATAAATAATTAATAATAATAATAATAATAATAATAATGATCAATGGATTATAATTTCGATTACAATGTTTTCATTCCTTGAAATATGTTGTTTTCAAGTCTTCAGCTACCAATAAATAAAAAAAGAGCTTATTATATACATCCATTTAAGCTTGTCTCAATGCACAGGGTGTAAGAGAAAAAAAGATAAATAATTATGGTAACTTACAGAAAACAATCATGCATTTTTGATTCAATTAAATAGGTACGAACTGATAAAAACAAAACATTTTTATAAGTAACTTAACTTATCTAAAAGAAAATTAATGAATATTTCAATTTAGTGATAACTATTTTTTCAAAGAAATTTTTAAAATGAAACTTAATTGAAAACATTTTAAAGTGATAACCAAAAACAAAAATAAACTTGAACATTATTTTTTTATTATTTTCAAGTGAATAAGTTCATCATTTAATTTATTTTCATAAATAAATGTAATAATTGAAAACAAACTAAATATAAATGAATTATTTAGTAAAAACTGTCTTTTTTCAAAATAATTTATCTTAAAAAAAAAATTATTAACATATAATAACAATATAAAAAGTGCATTTTTAAAAACAATTAAGCAAGAAATTACTTTAAACTTTATTGTATTACTTCACATATAACTTGCTACATTAGAAAATTTTGAAAGGTAACTAAAAAAAAAAAAAAATTAAAAAGTAAGAAAACTTCACCAATTATTTTAAATATTGTGTCTCAATTGTTAATTTAAAATTTATTTTAATAAATTAAGTTTTTGAATAAAATTGTAATTAAGTAAAAACTCGTTTTTGGTTACTCGAAACCATTAGTATACTGTTCAAGTGATTTTTTGTTAACAAGTTTTAGATTATATATTAATTAAATAGTTTACTGAAGTGATAATTCTCAAAAATAACTAAAAATGAGTTTGATTGAATAATCAAGAATTTTTTTTAAAACAGATTACAAAGAATTTGATATTTTTCAATAATACAAATTTTCAGCGGGAAATTAAAATAAGCAGGTAGTCAAAAGTATTCATGGTTTAAATACACTACAAAGAATTTCTATTTTAAGTAAATAAAACATCTTGTTACCTTACAATATACTAAGCAAATATAACATCAAAAACTAAATTATTTAAGTTAAATTGAAAAATAACAATAACAAGCTTAGTAAAAAATTATAATGTTAGTAAATTTCGAAATTTGTTTCTTGAAGGGGTATTATTTAAACAGTAACATTAAAAAAATTTTAAAATTACTTTACAGTGAAATATAAAATGAACTTAATAAAATAAATAAATTTTAAATATTACTCACAAGAGGTATCAAAACAAAACAACATTTATGTATGTGTAATTAATAATCAACATAGCATTTAAATGAATATAAATATAACAATGCTGTGATAAGAGAAATGAAAAATTGGATTTTTCATATATCTCTAAACAAATCTATCTTAAATTAAAAAACAATTTAAGTTTCTATTCATCAATTGTAGCATTAACAATTAAGTCTTCAATTTTGTTCGTTTTATTAGGTCAACAAATTTCATTAGTAAACTATGTTTGAGTTTAGTAAAAATTGAATCATCGTGAATCAAGCATTATACAAAAGATAGTAGATTTTCGTACTTCAGAATGACATTTTTTTATTAACAAAATAATAGAGTTCTTAAAAATATTAGCATTGAAGCACTTTGAATAATTGAAAATTCAACACTGAATATAAGTTTGTTATACATGGTAATATAGATTATAATTAAAACACTTTTACAATTTTAAACATATTTATTAACTTTTGTCTATACATTAATATGCATTTATATACATATATAAACACACATGTTCGCATAAACAAATGAACTTAGGCATTTTAATATATTATATTTAATTTTATCACAGCTATGTTATTATTTTTTTAAAAATATACATTTATATATAAATATATTATATACTATAAATATATATAAATCATTATAGGTAGCTTTGTTTCAGTTGTTTTGTTTTATGTATTTTCATAAAAGGAAACAATTATAAGATACTAAACTTATATATAAAAAAAAAAAACTAACAATAAACATAATAATTTGGACTTGATTAGAATTATATGACAATAGGACGGGGAGATAAAAATAACAATCACTGGTACTTAAAGGCCTACATAATCTTACAAATAAACTATGCCAATTACATCCAGTGCCCACATTCTTTGACATAATGGTAAGAACCGATAATGAACAGAGGCTTTAATTCTGAAAAATTAAAATACCAGTAAATTAAAAATAATTCTGACCTAATTTAGCCAGATAGAATAATCAACCAATCCAAACTATTTTGAAAAATATATTTAATTAATTTAACTACAAAACAAAACAAGTAAAATTGATTTTTTAATAATGTTTTTATTATTTTATTTGACATTTGGTTTGACTGTATTGTTTATGAGTATGATCACAATGTAAGTTAACAGTTATCACTAGTGATGATCATTTTGTTTATATTGTTTTTTCTTTAAATATAACATATACATATGTGAAAGTTTAAAATAACATAACATACCTTAACACAATAATAAAAAATTAAGCCTCTGTCATATTTAATTTAATGTGGATAAAGATTTAATTTATTTAGAATATAGAAAGCAAAATCAGAATTGGTTGGGTTAACATTTATTGTGTGCAGAAAACTAAGTGGAAAGAAGAGAAAGTAAGAAAAATAGGCGAGGGTTATAAAATAATATACTTAGGTAAAACCATTACAAAGAATGGTGTAGGGATTGTTTGTAAAGACAGTAAAAAAGATGACTGTGTGGAATGTCGAGGGAGACATAAATGATGTGTGGAATAGATTTGCTAGTTGTGTAAAGAATACTGTAAAGGAGATTGTTGGTGAGAGTAGGGATAGAATGCTAGAAAACAAGGAAACCAGGTGGTGGGATGAGAACGTTCAAAAAATTATAGAAAGTAAAAAAAAAAAACAATTCAAAGTATGGCAGATGAGCAAAAGGAGAGAAGATAGGAAGGAGTATAAACGCCTGTGCAAAGAAGCCAAATGTGCAGTAAATAAGGCAAAGTTTAAGAGGTATGATGAGTTGATAGGCTAGGAACAAAAGAAGGCGAGAAAGATATCTATACACTTACAAATGTAAGAGAGAAAAGGTCTAAAGATTATCATTATAATATAATGATTGTTATATTATAAGGTGTATAAAAAATGTTAATAATAAGGAACTCTCGAGTGATGATGATGTGAAAAAAAAAGTGGAGAGTATTTTGAAAAATTACTGAATGAGGAGTACCCATAAGCGACATTAGAGGATATCTTGTAGAATAAGGGACTGATAGATTTAATTAGTGAGAAAGAGGTATGGGAGGCTGTGCCATCAATGAAAAAGAATAAAGCAGTAGGACTAGATGAAGTCCCCATAGAAGTATAAAAAATATTAGGCGGTGTTATGCCAACAGGTGATCGAAGGAACATTTAAATAAAATCTCATTAGATGGGAAACTTCTCAATTAATGGAGGAATAGTATTGTGGTGCTGATATTTAAAGGTAAATGTGACATACAGGAGTGTGGAAATTATAGAGGCATAAAGCTTATGAGTCTTAGAATGAAAATTTGGAAAAAGGTAATAGATAAGAGAATAAAAAATGCGACATCGGTATCAAAAAACCAGTTTGAATTTATGCCTGGTAAGTCAACAATAGAGCCATTATTTTGTGTGAAGCAACTAATAGAAAAGTATAGGGAAAAGAAGAAAAAGCTCTATATGGTATTTATAGATTTGGCGAAAGCTTATGATAGAGTAACGAGAGAGGTTTTAAAGTTGGCATTAATGAGAAAAGGAGTCTCGAAAAAGTATATTAATATAATAGAGGATATGTATGATGGCTCTTGTACCAGGGTAAAAAGTATAGGAGAAGTAACAGAAGGTTTTCGGGTAAGAGTAGGAGTGCACCAAGGTTCTGCTTTAAGCCCTTACTTATTCTCTAAAGTGATGGATGAAATTACTAGAGAAATACAAGGAGAGGTGACGTGGTGCATGTTGTTTGCTGACGATATAGTATTAATAGGGAGGAAATCAATCAAAGGTAAGAGGTGTTGAAATCAACTGTAACTCTAAAAAGGTTTAAAAATAACTAAGAGTAAGACAGAGTATATAGAGTACGAGTTTGACAAAGGAGAACATGAGGTAGGTGAAATAAGATCAGTGACAATAGACGAGGACATGATTGGAGAGGTGGTAAGTTTTAAGTATTTAGGGTCAATTGTGCAAAAGAGCGGTGGTATTGATGAGGATGTAAGACACAGGATTAAGTGTGGGTGGTTGAAGTGGAGAGAAGCATCTGGCATCTTATGCGATTAAAGAAATCCAATGAGCCTAAAAGGTAAATTCTATAAGACTCTAGTGAGACAAGCTATGATATATGGCTGAAGGAAGAAGAGGTAAAGGAAGACTAAAAAAGAGATGTAGGGATGCTATTCAATGCGATATGAGGACAGCTGATGAGGGAGATCGTGTCAAGTGGAAGTTTAGGATAAAGGTGACCAACCTCAAGTAGTTGGGATTAAGGCAAGGAAGAAGAAGAAGATAGTAAGCAAATAAAGATCATTTTAAACTCATATTGAAAGAGAGACATCATTCCTCTAGTTATACTAACATAAGTATAATTAGCATATAACTATTACTGTAACTGATAACAGTGATAGAAGTTACCACTGTTATCAGTTTTATTACAATAGTTCTGAAATCATTTTATGTAATTTTGTTTTGTAATAACTTAATAATTTATATTATTGAATTAAAAATAAAATTAAATGTTGAACTTTTACATGTTTATTTTACCATATAAAAGATTTATTAAAATTTAGTTTATAAATAGTAACAAAGGTTTTCATATTCTCAAAGACTAATGGAAATTTCTTATTGAAACCATTTAAATTCCCACAAGACATAATTGTGTGTATACAACTTTAAAAATCGAGAAGCAAAAAAGAAATTGAACATCAACTGGCAAGGGGTTTAAAGAGATTATGTAGATAAATTCTAAATATTTGTAAGTAAAATTAGATAATGCTTTAACATATAAAGTAGACTGAAAAAAATTGCAACAATAATATAAGCCAAAGCTAGCAGGTATAAAGAAAGGCTTACACAAAGGTGCTTTGAATGTCTGGTATTGCCCTTTGTTATTCAGCCAAAGAGTATGGTCAACAAATGCCAATCAAGTAGACATGGGATTATACAATACAAATAAAATTATTACTGAATGTCTGTAAATTATATAAATAGAAAAAATACAAGTTTTACGTGGGGTTTCTTTATCAGATATAAAAAGAAAATTAACAGCAATGGTAGAAAGAGAAAAAGGGACGTGAACATATACACCACATATGTTTGGCGACCTTCAAATTTTATTTTACTAAAATCTAGAAAACTTTATTAGTTTTGGAGCTCATTACAGAACTGCCAACAATGACAAGATTAAAAAAATAGCAGGAATAATTCATTAATAACAACAAAAGTATTAAATAGGAACAATCTTTTCTACCAGGATATGGATAACCCTGGTGCACATTTAAGACTATTAATAAAATTCAATCAGAAATTGGAAGGACCTAAGCAAACACACAGTAAGGGACTAACTTATGATGTAGACTAAGAGTGTAAGAATGTGCAAACATCGAATCATCTATTAGAGTCCAATAATACTAATGAAAGGAGAAAAACTACTTTTAAAGAAAAAATAAATTTTTTTTACTAATAAATTTATCACTTACTATTTATGAACTTTAAATTTCAAATGTTATATATGTGTCTATATTTGGCCTAGAAAGTTACTTAGGTGACTTAGTATGATTCACTTTAGGTCCACGATCTTTTTTAGGCGTTGTTCCCCGGTCACTATTAGTTGATCTATGTCCTTTTGAAGGTCGGTTTGATGTGTGACTATCTAAAAATGTTTAATATAAATAATTTAGAAATAAATTTTGCATGAAATTAAATTTATCACAATTATGGAGAATTTTTATATAATCTTACAAATTTATAAGCAAATATTATTTCATTTCATTTTTTTAAAAGAAATTTTTAAGACAGTTAAAAATAAATATGTTTAGTATTTAATTTTAAAAACTATTTAATATTTAATATTAAGAAATTGTTGTTATAGTTGGGCTATTTTTCTAAACTTAATAGGGTACATTATCAGTATTAATAAACTTCAATATAAATCACAAATTAATTAATAATTGTTATACAAATTTTTCCATAAATCTGATATTTGTTAGTTAAATGATGTTAACAAAGTCAACATCATTTTTAGCATTGATACTATGTTCTAACACAATGCCCAGATTATGGAAAAATAAAATAAAGTCTAAAATTGTATGGATAATTAATACATTGTCAGGACACAATCTAATACAATATCCCTTCATTTTACTATTTAAAACCATAACACAAATTCTACTATATTTAGTAGTATTACATGTTAAACCTGTATTTTTTTTTATCAATGAGTAAGCTGAAGACTAATAAATTATTAGGTAATTTTTGGTTGAATAATAAATTTCTATTAGTTTTTTAAGAAAAAAAATAATAAGATAACAATTCAATGACTATTACAATAATGTGAAAAAAATATTATTATAATTTCTAAGTATTAAATAAAAAAGTAATATTAGTATATAATTTAAGATCAATAAGAAATATAATTTTGAAATATTTTAAATTAACTTTCCTAGCTATGATTAATTTGAATTCGGTTATTAAAATAAATAGATTATTTTTATAATATATTACCAATTTGAAGATTAGATTGTTTAATTTGAGAAGTTAAAACAGGCACAGTTTCTTCCTTTTTTTCCTCTTCTATAATAGTAGATTGTACAAATGAAGGCATATTAGGAATATGAACTTCATTTTTATCTCTGTGATGTTGTGCTACTTGTGCATAACTTAATTTGTGTCCAATAGTTGGCGATTCATTTCCATTAAGAATAGGATTATTGTTGACTAAGTCGGCTGAAAATGAAGTAGGTGGTTGTGGTATAACACATTGTGATGACGATGCAGATTTACTACTTGATACTATCTTATTAAAATTTGGTGATCCATTGGCTTTAGACACAGGAGTTATTAATGACAATTCAATTTTACTTGGCATAGCAGTCTTATCAATAGGATTTATATTAGAATTTGTAGTTGTAACAATATCTTGAACCTAAAATAAACATAAGAACTGTTATAAATGATCAGTGATTAAATATAATTAATAGAGATGAAATTATATAAGATTTATAGTTAAATTTTAAAACATCTTACTCTTTATTATTAATTTTGACACACTTAAAAAAAATGGAAGATTATTCCAAAAGAAAATGAACTCTTATTTCGATATTTATATCTTTATTACAATCTTGCCAAGTGCAAGTTTAGGATAAGGGTGGCTGACTCCAAGTAGTTGGGATTAAGGCAAGAAAGAAGAAGATATCTTAATTACAAGTTTTATGATTTTTTAAATTATAATATATGAATAAATATTTGAGTTATAGACTCTAACCTTTTTTTTTTGTAAATATGAAAACGAACAAAATTAAAAATATTTATTTTAAATCAAAATAAATATTTTTTAATAAAAATAATTAGGAGGAATTAATCTCCTAACATCCTTTTTTAATACGCAAACATCTTAAAAACACTTACAAATTAGTTAAATTTTCAACAATAATTTCTTGAATTATTTTGAATTTTTCAATTTTTATATATAAAAAAAACTTTTTTTTTAAATTTAGTTTAAATCATAAAGATAATAATTTCCAGAAGTCAAATTATTTATTTCAAAACAAAATATTTATTATTATTACAAGCACTTTAATTTAAAAAAAAACCCAGCACAGGGGGGTCGCGGTACAGTGGTGACGTGGCATAGTTGGATCAAGTATAATGATATCTGACAGTGATTAAAATCACTATCAAAAATAAACGCTTCGATGCAAATCTTTAGATAGTGTTTAATTTTAAAAAAATTGGTGTTTTATTCCAAAAGCTACTTGATCTGCTGGTTCCTTATTAATATCTCGATTAAGATAAAGTATGTCGAATGAAAAAGGGTTTATTAAAAAATATTATTTCTCATAAAAAAATTGTGTGGATCCATAAACTTTTCAATAAGTTATAGCATTATAAAGTTAAATATAATATAAATAATAAAATCGAGAATTTTCACACGAAAATAGCATTCGGTAGCCATTTTCGACGTGAAGACAAGTCCAGAGGTCAAATTTTTTTTTTTCAAACTAAAGTATATTACTTTAGCTTTAATTTAAGATATATATAAAAGTGTCAGACCTTACGGAACATTTTCAAAAGTTATGATGAAAAAGTAAATTTTTTCTGAAAAAGATGTCATTTTAAATCCACCCCTGTGGGCAGGTTAAGTGTCAGATTTACAAAAAAATTATACCAAATGATAAGTAAAGACATCAAGCATCTATATAAAAAAAATTTATATTGATATGTTCATTTTTGAAAAAGTTATAGCACTTTAAAGTAAAAAATGTCAATTATAAAATCGGAAATTTTCACACAAAAATAGCATTCGGTAGCAGTTTTCACCATGAAAACAAGTCCAGAGGTCAAATTTTTTTTTTTCAAATTAAATTACATTACATTAGCTTTAATTTAAGATATATATAAAAGTGTCAGACCTTCCGGAACANACACACAAAAAAAAAAAAAAAAAAAAAAAAAAAATAAACACATCATAGTAAAACCAATACCTTCTCAGCTTCGCATCGAAGCTAAAATATATAAAATTATTTTTATAACATTTTGAAATTCTACTTTCTATACTAGTGTTCAAAATTTTTTTGAAAAAAGGGAAATGGTCCAATTAAAAAAAAAAAAACTATGATGAATTAAAGGGGTATTTCCAAAAAAATTGTATTGATTCATATATTTTTCAAAAAGTTAAAGCAATATAAAGTTAAAAAAAAAAACAAGCACAGGAGATCGCGGCACAGTGGTGACAAGGCATAGTTGGATCAAGTATAATGATATCCGACAGCAATTAAAATCACTATCAAAAACCCTTTGATGCAAATATGTAGATAGTATTTAATTTTAAAAAATTATTGGTTTATTCCAAAAGCTACATGATCTCCTATTTCTCTATTTATACCTTGATAACAAGTTTAATGATTGATAAGTGTAATATATGAATAAATATATATATAATATATAAATATAAACAGGGGAATGGTTTTATTTAAAAAAAAGTATGTGAAATGAAAGAGGTTTATAAATAGTATTTATCATAAAAAAATTGTATTGATCCATATATATTTAATAAAATTATAGCATTATAAAATTAAAAGTATAAATAGAATTTTTTTAATCGAGCCACACCTGGCAACACACACAAATTGTCAGCTTTTAATAGTATGGTTTACAAATTAATTAATATTCTGATGAATAAAATAGATTTTGATAAAGAATTGGTGGTTATAAAAGAAATAGCTAAATTTAATGGGTATAACGAAAACATAATTTCAAAATTAGTCCGAACACAAAAGTCGAAAAAAGAAAGGAGGGCACAGCTAGTACACTCACCAGCGAGAGGGAACAAAAAGTAATTAGATCACCAATTTTATATTATCCGGGTATCTCAAATGGATTAACTAAAATATTTAAGAATTTTGGTATTACTTTGGTAACATCTAAGAGTAATAATTTAAGAGATTTATTAGGTAACCCTAAAGATAAGGTAGATGAAGGGGGGAAATCAGGCATTTATAAAATACAATGTGAAAGTTGTAATAAATGTTACGTAGGACAAACAAAAAGAAATATAGGGGTCAGGTTTAAAGAGCNCCAACAAAAAGAAATATAAGGGTCAGGTTTAAAGAGCACTTAAGAAATATTAAAAATCAAGAAGTTGAGAAATCTCCAGTGGCTGAACATTTATTGCACACATAATCACTCCATTAAAACCATAAAACTAATTAAAAATTTAAATAATTAGAAAGAACTTAATATCAGAGAAGATGAGTTAACTTATAAAAATATTTTTTTTCTTTCAGTAATTTTATTTTATTACATTATAACTATTGCATAAAGATGGTCAACTCCCACTGTAACCTGGATTATGATAACAAAGAACAAAACATAATATAATAGAGGATGCATAGGTACACCTGAGTAACAAAGTAATTTTTTTCCAACCTCTGACATTCACATTTTCCGCACATACAACCCACCACTCACAACAGTGACCCTATATTGGGTAAGATTTGTCATTTCATGAAAGTTTGAGAAATGAAAAAAATCGAATTGGGTCAACTCGAGATCAAAAATTTGTAATATAGTGGAGGCAACAGGAATGTCAAGTTAAATAAATTTTCTAATAAACAAAATATGTTAAATCTCACAAGAATTCAAAAATTTATAAAATAGCTGGTACCCCAATAACTATTTTATTGCAACTTTTAACTTCAATTAAATTAGAAAATTTTTTATTATTTTCCTTAATTATATTAAACTTTAGCCTTAAGTCACAATAATTTTACAAAATTTAATGTAAAATGAATATACCTGAGAGTGTTTAGTTACAGACGTAATTGATGTATTAGAAAAATCATCAATTATAGCAGAAACTGCCAAAGACCGAACAATACTTGGCAGCTCAGTTTGTGAGCCATTTATCAGACTTTCTGCATTTACAGTCAAGTCTTGATTATCAGTCTTAGGTAGAGGAGTTTCAGATGACACCACAGATAAATTTGATGTTGCTACAACAGGAATCCTAAAAATAAAAATATATTTATTTACAAATTTAGCTACAAATATTAAATGTTCATAATAGTTTTTGAGAAATAAATGCCCATCTCAATTGAAATATACTAATAATATTGAGAATAAATCACAGAATATATTTATTTATTCTATCTGTAAAGACTTACCTAGAATCAAGATTGTTTCGAGGAGATAATAAGTCATGGGACAGTGAAGTTGGTGATTGATGTGGTAAGGATACAACTTGGGGTGGTAAGGGAGGAAATGCATCAGCTGCTAGATCAAAACTTTGTGAACATGTGGGTTGTTGAGGCAAGGTGGTACTATTAGATAACACTTCGGATCCAACTTCATCTTCTCTCTTCCTTCGTCTATATCTAAAATTATTAATATAATGCATAAGACAATATGTTTAAAAAATAATTAATTATTTATTAATAAATTAAAAAAATGTTTTTGTTTGATAGAAAGTAATTAGAACTTGTAATGAGCAAATATTTATGTGTTAAATAAAAAAATAAATACTATTAAAATCACTTACATATTTACAATGAAAATTACAATTTACAAGTATGTATTTAAAAACTAAAATTGTCAAGATTTTTAATACACACGCACACACAAAAAACAACTATGAATTAATGTACAAAAATATTATATAATCTAGTTAAAAAATACCTAGGTGGCAATGTTGTAGGATCTTTAGGTAATATTCCACTTGACTGTCTATCAATTATACTACAATCTTGATTGTCAACATTATTTTTAGTAGTATTAGAAATATGTAAAGATCCACTACTACTAGATGACTTAGTAAGACTTCCATTAGATGTGTAACTACCAGGGCGAGATGGTAAACCACTATCAGACGCTGAACTTCGATAGTATTCACTTCCACCAACAGAGTTATGACGCATTTTACCATTGCTTCTGCCACTATTTAAAAAAAAAAAAATTAAGTATAATCTCTAATAAGTGTATGATATAGGTCATAAATAAATAATTAATATGGCAACTTGTAAAATGAAATTTTCTTTTATACAGATTAGATAGTAAAAAATTATAAGATAATATAGTGCAACATAGAACTTTATAAGTTAATAATATCAGAATAAAATAAAAATGTAAATAGTATACAAGTGGAAAAAATAAAAATGAGTATAGCTTACGGTGCTCGTGATATATTATATCTTGAGTTTTGAGGTTTAGCAAAAGCTCCCTGTGGAGCCAATCCATTGACAGAAAATATACCACTAATATCTGTTGTGTAATAAGTACCAGTTGCAGGATGTGGCCAATGTTGTAACATATTTGTTGGGTAGTATGATGACTGTTGTTGCTGCTGTAACTTAGCAAAGATTACTTAATTTAAAAAAATACAGTAACAAAAGAAGAGATTTTTTTTTAAATTAAAATTATAAAAATTAAAGAAAAACAAATTTAAATAACTTACATATACTTGTAAATTGGCAGTAGCATAATTGACTGGAGCATATTGGGGGCCATTATTAGTATAATATAATCTAGCAGCTTGAGGATGTTGAGGGGGAGGTGCTGGAGGACCTGAAGGTGGACCTGGTTCTATGTAGGGATTTATTGTTTGAGCTTGTATTGGAGGAGTTCTAAAACCATTAATAGTTTTAATACCTGGAATTCCAGCAACAGCGCCAGGAGATATGGGAGCTGTCATACGATTCATTGGTTTAGCTTTGATTCGCGCCATTATAGGACGACCCTGAAAATTTAATTTTGATTAAACAAATGATTTAAAAACGGGTTTTTAAACACAAGGAGCTAATCCACTGATAGATGAAATAAAATATGGAAAATTTTAAAGAGCACTGTCATCTAGCTTCATTTCTTTATCACCGAAGAAAAAAACAATTGTTAGTTAAAATCTATCTACAAATAATTATTTTTGATAAAATAGAAATTTAATTATTTAAAAAAAAAAAAATGCACCATTATCCCTGTGAATAGAGGATAAGTATACTTCCACAGCCTCTTTACCAGTCATAAGAGACGACTAATGAGGTTGCGTTAGATTGACAGCTGGCATAAAATTATGTCAAAAAATATGAGTCCTGAACTAAACTTAGGCCGATTGTCCCATCTTGGATATAAGCGGGAACAGGTGAGAGGAAATAAAGTAGTTTGAAATGGAGAAGGCCTGAAGAATAAAATGTTTGATATCAGCTGGATAACTAGTGCAGTAGCTGTTTCACCAGTTATGTGTACAGATCTACTCAACACTTGTAGTACCAACGGTTTAGAGACATCATCACTAAACTTTAGGCTGAACTCGTAAATAAGTGATAAAAATAGATACAAAGTAAAAATAAATACTTGGAATGTTGGAACATAAGCTGGTAAAAGTAGAAAATTATTAGAAGTATTGAAGAGGAGAAAAGTAAACATTTGTTGTGTGCAGAAAACTAAGTGAAAGTGAATAATAGATGAGGGTTATAAAATAATATACTGAAGTAAAACCAATACAAACCTAGTTATACAGGGTGATTTTTTTATCATAACCCACTCAATTACTTGCAGAATAATAATAATTTAAACATTTTTTTTTTTTTTTATTATTTTTAGTTACACATTATTCTTGAATTTTTAACTATGTAATACTTTTTAAGTTCATCCCTTATGCCTTGGAGGGGGGTCAACTTTGTTTTTTTAAATGGTAACACATATTTTTAATTTAATAAAATGTTTGAGTTTTTAATTTAATAGTAAATGGCATTTGAATTTTTAATATAACTTTATTAGCTTATTAGATATAAACATTTAAAGTTTCAAAATTTTGAGTTAATATACATGTATAATACACATGGGATTGTAAATACAGGTAGCTAATTGGATTTTTATAACATCGATATTAGCAGGTACACAGCATTGTTATTATCAATTGTAGTAAGGCACATTGTTATGAGTTTATAAATACACTAACTGACAATACAGAAAGTATATCTATTGATAATCATAATTGATAATAAACAATCCGTGACTGAGACAGCAATGTCATAAAAATCCAATTAGCTACCTGTATTTACAATCCCATGTGTATTATACATGTATATTAACTCAAAATTTTGAAACTTTAAATGTTTATATCTAATAAGCTAATAAAGTTATATTAAAAATTCAAATGCCATTTACTATTAAATTAAAAACTCAAACATTTTATTAAATTAAAAATATGTGTTACCATTTAAAAAAACAAAGTTGATCCCCCTCCAAGGCATAAGGGATGAACTTAAAAAGTATTACATAGTTAAAAATTCAAGAATAATGTGTAACTAAAAATAATAAAAAAAAAAAATGTTTAAATTATTATTATTCTGCAAGTAATTGAGTGGGTTATGATAAAAAAATCACCCTGTATATAACAAAAAAACAAACAAAACAAATTCATGAACACAATTTTTTTTTTTTTATCAATTAGCAGTTTGTAATGATACATATTATTTGTTACAAATGTTTCAGTTGGTAGTGCATGTAATTAAAAAATCACCAGGAAATCATATTGTGGTGAGAATTTCATCATTAACATTTTTGTAACAAAATAAAGCTATAATTCTTCTCCTTAATCCTAGTTATATAAATAATTTATCTAAACACTAATATATATATTAGTTATATAAGTTTCCCTTATTTTTAAAATTTTGAAAATTCTTCGGGCCCACCCGCCAAATTTGTGTATACATATAAAAAGTGGCTACAAAAAATTTCAGGCCGATCAGATAAGTTTAACCCATGCCACGACTTGTGGTTGAAAATTGGCCAAAAGGGTAGTTTTTTAGTTTTTAGCAATTAACTTGTAAATTCACATAAACTCACAAAAAAAAAATATATATATATATTTAGAAACTAAGTTGTAAATCTAATTGTTTTGTATAAATTGAGTTCTCATAGTTTTTCTTCTAAATCCATTATTTTTACAAAAAAATGTTAAAATACGTAATATTTCATAACATTGTTGAAATTAGCATATTTGCTAATATTTTAACATATCTGACGAACCATATATGATACAACCTAATATTTCATACAAAATTTGTTTAAAATTAAATTTTACGAAATAAAAGTAATAAGTAAAAATTTCATTAAACTGATGTTTTTTGCTTTAGCTGAGATAGCTCGATCATATTAAGATTTTTACTAAATATATGAGTTTTATTGCTTTTATAATTATAAATGTATATGTACATTTATAATTTTTTTTTTTATTAAGATAGCTCATTCAATTTACATAGCATCTATGTACTGAAAACTTATTTATAATAAGGGAATCGACTTCAAGACTTCAACTGTTGCTTAAATAACATAAANATGACATAAGACTTCAACTGTTGCTTAAATAACATAAACTGCATCTAGTGCACTTATTTTATATAAACCTAACGCAGCTACGAGTTTTGGTACTATGAAATTTATTTGCCCATTTTATTCTATTTTTCTAAAACATTAAAAGGTTTTTAGTTTCCAGATTTTATGAATGAAGAAGAACTTATAATTATATCATTTGATAAATAATGTATATTTTGCGTATAGTATATCTTATTTATCATATACCAGATGATAACTAACAGAATCTAGCAATAAAACTCATATATTTAGTAAAAATCTTAATATGATCGAGCTATCTCAGCTAAAGCAAAAAACATCAGTTTAATGAAATTTTTACTTATTACTTTTATTTCATAAAATTTAATTTTAAACAAATTTTGTATGAAATATTAGGTTGTATCACATATGGTTCGTCAGATATGTTAAAATATTAGCAAATATGCTAATTTCAACTATTTTATGAAATATTACGTATTTTAACATTTTTTTGTAAAAATAATGGATTTAGAAGAAAAACTATAAGAATTCAATTTATACAAAACAGCGTGTGAATGCTAATTTACAAGTTAGTTGCTAAAAACTAAAAACTACCCTTTTTGGCTAATTTTCAACCCCAAGCAATATGGGTTTAACTTATCTGATCGGCCTAAAATTTCTTGTAGCTACTTTTTATATGTATACACACAAATTTGGTTGATGAACTCAAAGAATTTCCAAAATTTTAAGAATAAGGGACACCTATATATATTGTTTTATGACTAGTCATTTTCTTAATTACATAATTTTCTATTTTGTAAGCCAGTAAAATGTGTATATGGCAATATTTAAAAAAATTAGGTTATAAGACATAAAATGTGAAAATAATAATTTTACATCCAATAAATGAAAATACATATGCAATAAGCTAAAGCCAAATAAAAAAATTAACAAAAAGTATTATTTTAAGAGAAACCAAGTGGCTGGTATTAAATTAATTATCTGTACATTCTAATGATTAAAATCACTATTAAACATTTATTTTATGATTAAAATATGGAGAAGGCATTATGAAATTTTTATTTGGAGGATTTTTCTTTTTAAAGTATAGCCTGGCCCCTAAATACGACTGTACTGATCGACCTACTTAATGAAGTTATTCTTACTTTAGTGATCAATTTCTTGATTAAAACAAATCAAGAAGACCTAAGAAAAACCAAGATAAACATTAATTTTAAAATTTGCCAAGGATCAGCTCATGCACAAGTTTTAACTTATCATTGCCTAAAATGATAATATTGAATGAAATGATAAGAATCTAATTTAAAACAAATGATTTTTCATTTAATTTATTTCACTATATAATCCGTGTAAGATTAATTGTTTGAATATTTATAAATAAAACATAATAAAAAATTGTTCTAGAACCTTTTAAAATTAAAAGTTTAAAATTAAAAATTTATATACCTGAAATTCTTTGACTTCTTCTCGAAGGTACAAAAATGCTCTCTGTGCATCTTCATCATTCTCAAAAGTAATGTACCAAGAATTATTATGAGCGAATTCACATGATATCATTTTTGGACAAGATTCACCATTAAATAGTCCCTATTACACACAAGTTAAATAAAAAAAATTATTTATGTACATAAGAAGTTGATCCAAGATTTTCATTTAATTTTTATGTTTTGGTATTATTCCTACAGTTGATTCTGACGGGTCTTTAAAATAAATTAAAAATTTAATTAGAAAAAGTCTCCAACCTGCAAACATAAATTTTTGGTAAACATGATTTTTTGTTTATATTTATATAGTGTAAGAAATTTAATTGAGAATAATTTAAATGGAGTGAAAATTATCTAGATGAAAATACAAAATAATATTATTATTATTATTTAGTTATATAACCATAAAAATATTATTAAAAAAAAAATTGAATGAAACAAAAAATTATTACATGTGATAAATAACATATTCAAGAATCAATCTAGATGTTCAAAAAGTAAGGAAAAATGTTTGCAATGTTTTCATTGTTAATAACAATTAATCAAGCTACTATTGAACATATTAAATTAAAAAAATACCCGTGGATAGTTTATCTTTTATACCATAATATATAGTCCTTGGTTAATGACTGTATATTAAGATAGAAGTCTACTGTTTAGTAGACAACTAAGACATTTTTCAATATTTTTCAACTTTTCACAATATAAACTATATGTTCAAATATTAATGTAAACAACAAAATTTATTATTTTTCATTGGAGGTATTTTTTTT